CAGATCTGGAACATCTCAGAAGTGTATTTCCAAATCTGGCGAATTCAGCCCTCCTGCTCTTGGGCTTCTCTGTACTACCTACCACATACAAAATGGTACTTCCAGTTCTCCCCTACATTTATGGGGCCTTCACCAACACAGCAGGCCATTTCACACCTCAGTGACTCTGCACACGGGATTCTTGCCTCCAAAACCACTCGAACCCACCAGTCTGAGGGGAAACCATTTCAAAATCTGCTCAACTCCACCTCTCTGTCAAGTGTCCCCGAGTCCCCTGGCAGAGGTGATCACTCACTCTGGGCTGTAAGCCCTCACTGTTTCTTGCTCATGCTTCAATAGCAGTACCGATCACACCATTACAAGCCACGGATGAGTTCTCTACTAAGCTGTAAACCAAGAGTAGCACTCATAGCTCTGTTTAAATCTTCATACATCTTGTGTCTAGCAGAGAGGAGCTAGATGAATGTCTAGGAAATAATAAGGCCACCCCACCCTCTGCCTCAATTCTCTAAGCTTCCTGAGGCCAGAGATAAGAGCAATTCTTTTGTATCCCGCCCACCCCCCCGAACTGAGCACAAATGTCTAAGGCATAAACTGCAGCGCATGCGCACAGTAGCTTATTTCTCTAAGAAAAAGGACAGGCATTCCCAGAGAGGCTCTGAGGGAAATGCTTTCAATTCACCGAACAAGAGGATTTAGCATCTGAGCCTCCTCCTCATGGACTGATCTGTTTCCACTTCACTTGTGCTAACTCATTTTACACTCAATCAAGCCTACACTAAGATCCAAGGTTATCCTCTAGGGGCAAGGACAGTAAAATGGAAATTATAAAAGCTCATCAACAAATGCCAGAAGAAACCTTCTAGAAAGTGTATCCTGCTCCCTTTTCCCCCAAACAATTTCACTGGAGTGGATGAAGTTCAGTTCATAAAGATGTGTTCCCAAGGAACTACAGAAACCCTGGGAATCGTCACACCAGGTGAATGGGAACCAAACAAGAAATGTCTGCATCAAACTTTTAGAAAAGTGATAAAACTAAAAGAAGAACATGTTTATAGCTAGCAAAGGGGATAAGATAAGGGTAACAACAAAAGGATCCGCCATTCCATTTGTTGCCAAAGAGAAAAGCAAAAGGGGGTGGGGGGAGAGAGACTCTAACCATGAAATAAGGCAAATACATACTCTACGTTTAAAATCCTTTCCTCCAACACGGAGGAGTCAGGGAGAAGAGAACCGCATTCAATTAGTTACTAATTCAATTCAAATTACATTCTGGCTGAAGAGTACTAGTTTCTCCAGAATCCCTATTAGAAAAGGCTGAAGGGAAGGAGATCATCTAAAAGCTGCTTTTGCATAGCAAGCTCACTGCTCTTAAAGTTTGAGCCATATGAATAGCAGTATTCTCTAAAGATATTTTTATTCACATTTTTAAAAGATTTATTTATTTATTTATTTATTTATTTATTTATTTATTTAGAGAGAGGAGGCAGGTAGCAAAGGGAGAGGGACACAAAGTCTTAAACAGGCCCTGCACTCAGCGCAGAACCTGATGCGGGGCTCGACCTCACAACCCTGAGGTCATGACCTGAGCCGAAACCAAGAGTCAGACACTTAACCAATGGCCCCACCCAAGCACCCCTTTTACTCACACTTTATGTGAGACTGAGGAAACAGCCACCATCTGTTTTAAGTGGGAGGAGGGGAACTTCAAAGTCACAAAGCAATCCCACCACCTCTTGCTACCACGAACAGAGACAACAGTCAACATCCTATTGAAGGCAAATTGCACTCAGGCCATAAGAGGTATGATTTAGTTCTCTGGAGCAGATATTACCATGGGTTTTGGAGCAAAACCACATTGGTTCCAATCCCAGCTCTGCCTGTCGTAAGATGTGTGACTTTGGGCAAGTCCCTGAACCTCAACTTCTTCATCGGTAAAATGGGGAAATAAGCCCAGTCTCCCGAGGCCTTTGTGAGGATTGAAGTCATTCAAGTCTAGCATATGATTCGTGCTCTTTATTATTTAAACACAGTCAAGAAAAAAACATGTTACTTCTCTAAGTATTCCAAGTAAGATCTGCAATAGTATAAACAGTCTTTTATCCAGGGCAGTGACTTTTTTTTTTCCACAGCAATTCTTTAAGCTATAGAACAGGCAGGTTTGATAAATCCCATTCTAACAACTAGAAATCTGATGCATCAACTGGCTGACCAGCAGGCTCAAGGTCACCAAGCTCATGTGTTGTACCAGGAAAAGAGGACAGATCTCCCAACACCCAGCACAGTGCTCTGTAGAGGATCATGAATCTGTTGGACTACAAACATCCAATTGTTAATGAGATTTTTTTTTCTAAATTTCAAAAGAAACATTCTTTATAAATCTAAGCACAAGGCCTCTATTATGGAGAGAGAAAACAAGCCACAAACTGGAGGAGGCTGGATACTCCATATTGCTTTGCTTATGTGGTGACAGAAACACGAGATCCAGGTTCAAGGCGTGACTCCCTCATACCCCATCGGTGTGACCTTCAGTCAACCAATGTTTGAGTCGCTTGTCATTTTAATAGCCAAATGGGAATCATTCCTGCTCCATCTAATACACGGGCCTTTGTATGATCAAATAAGAGTATATACTCAAGCATCTTAGGAAGCCAGAAAATACCAGGTACTTATTTGGTTCCTTCTTTTTTTGTGCTTATTCCTAGCAAACTTATGTCTGATATGAATAGCAAGGAAATCGATTTGTGGAAAATGTATAATACAAGCACAGATCTGTTTCCAAATTTGCTGTACATCAGAATCACTCGGGCAGCTTTGGAAACTCTTACTGACCAGGTCACCCACACCAATTAAATCAGCCTATTTGGATGTGGCAGCTGAGCATAGGGCTTTTTTTTTTATTTTTTTTTTTATTCTTATGTTAATCCCCATACATTACATCATTAGTTTTAGATGAAGTGTTCCATGATTCATTGTTTGTGCATAACACCCAGTGCTCCATGCAGAATGTGCCCTCCTCAACACCCACCACCAGGCTAACCCATCCTCCCACCCCCCTCCCCTCTAGAACCCTGTTTGTTTTTCAGAAAAACCATCGTCTTTAATGGTTCGTCACCCCCTCCGAATTTCCCACTTCATTCTTCCCCTCCTGCTATCTTCTTTTTTTTTTTTTTCTTAACAGAGTATAGGGCTTTTTTAAAGATGTCCCGCAGTAATGTTTGGAAACCACGCAGTGCTCACTGCCTACACTAATTCACGCTGGAGCTACTCCATTAGACTCTTGTTCAGCACCATCTAATATGAGAGCCACTAGTTCCATGTGACTATCTGAATTTGAATTAAACTTAAGATGGAGTTCCTAGTTTTATTTGCTATCTTTCAAGCGTTCAAAAGCATGAGGCTCGTGGCTACCTTACCAGGCTATGTCAACGTATATTATTTTCATCACAGAAAGTTCTATTGGACAGAACTGCTCTAGCCCATACTTCTCTTAATTATCCTATACAATGGATAGGAATTCATTTTGTAATTACATACCATTTTCAATTATTTGAGTATTAAAGGTGCAAAACGTTGTTTCAACATCTAAACCTGTGCTGTCCAATCCAATAACCCCCCAGCCACATGTGGCTACTGGCACCTAAAATGCAGTTAGAGTGACTGATGAACTAAAATTTTAGTAATTTGTAATTCAAATTTAAAAACAGATATCCACTTCAGTTACTGGACAATTTCTAAGTATATCTGGGACAAATTCAGTATGTGAATCTACTTTTTCAACTCTACATTTTATAA